AGGGAATGAGGGACAGGARGAGAGGGAATGGCCTCAAGTTGTGCCAGGGAAGGCTGGATACTTTGATGGAAAAGGAAAAATTCCTTCATGGAAAAGGTGTCTAGCCCGGGAATAGCGAGACAGTCCCCATACCTGGAGGGATTTAACAGCCCTRTGGATGTGGCACTYGGGGACATGGTCAGTGGTGGCCTTGGCAGTRCTGGGGAATGCTTGGACTCAGTGGTCTTAGAGGGATTTTTCACCCTGAATCACTCCATAATTCCATAGAAATTGTTGTGTGATCCATGCAGTGCTGTCCTGGCTGACACCATGTCCCTCCTCCGGTGAATGAAATTCCCAAGTGACCTTGCTGAGTGGCCTCATTCTGGGGGGTGGATATCCCTAAATATCAGGCTGCCCCTGGATTCCTGGAAATGTCCAAATGACCAGTGGGGCTGGTCAGGCACTGCAGAAAGGAACTTTGGACAAGGACCTGGAATGACAGGACACAGGGAATGTTTTCCCACTGCCACAGGGCAGGGTTAGGTGGGATATTGGGAAGGAATTCTTCCCTGGGAGGGTGGTCAGGCCTTGGAATGGATTTCCCGGAGAAGCTGTGGCTGCCCCTGAATCCCTGGAAGTGTCCAAGGCCAGGTTAGACAGGGCTTGGAGCAATCTGGGACAGTGGAAGGTGTCCCTGTCTGTGGCAGGAGGTGGCACTGGATGGGCTTTGAGGYCCCTTCCCACCCAAACCATTCCATGGCTCCAGGATTGTGGCCTGGCCTGACTTTCGGGGTCCCCTGAGAATGTTCAGGGCTTGGAGGGGAATTAATACAGTCTAAAGCTCACTTGGGATTTATTTTGACACATTAAACACCAAACTCCAAATGCTGGGTTAGGATTTCTCTCCTGAGCTCAGTTTCCTGATAAAATCAGCCACTCCCACTGTCTTTGTCAAGGAATTTCTCTGAAATACATGTGTATAAAATGCATCAAAATCCAGTAAGGTGGAATTTTGCTTCTRCTGCATAAATAGTGGAAGTTTCTGAAGATTTTTAACCTTCCTCCTCCTTGTGCTCSTTGAGCTGGGGATGTTCCAGCTGCTCAGCAGGGGGCTGGCTTGTATCCCAGATCCCAGGAAAAAGCCTGGAGGTTGAGGGGGGATATTTTTGGACTTCTTTTCTCTGCGATGATGAGCTAGACAGACAGTCTGGGCGGCAGAAAATCCATGTGGATCCTGCARAGAATGGCTGGAGTGGTTTGTGAGGAGATCCACATCCTGTGAAGTGGAAATGGGTGGCACTGGGGATCCCTGGAGCTCCCAGGAGAGCGAGGATCGCTCCAGCCCCAGCCAGATGTGACCTTGATGTGTGGAGGATGCTTTGGGCTGCTCTGTCCAGTGTCCATCCCAGTGAGAGCACAAGGCAGTGCCTGCAGTACATGGTGCTCCAGATAAATCCCAAAATACCTGGGAAGGGGCTGTTTTGGGGTCCTGCTTCTGATGCCAGGGTCCCCTGTGCCAGTTCCACCCCTGCTCAGTGCAGCAGGAAATTTATTTCAGAGGTTTAATCACACATTGGGTGTGTTCCTCTGGAAAAGGGGATGCTGGAGTTCCTGGAAAGCCTAGAAAGGTTTATTTATCCTGGAGATATTTTTCAGCTGGAGCAGCAGTTCATCCCAATGTGGCAGTTCCTGAGTTTAGGGGAAAATGGAATTGTTTCCCTTGGTACAGAGCAGGTTTGGGCCTGAATCTGCAGGTTGTGCTGAGGGTGGAACAGCCAAAGCCCCATTGGAGGTTGGGGTGTTCCAGAGGGCTCTGGATCATCTCACAGAGCTTTAATTACCAAAACTTCCCATATTCCTATGATTCAGGCACTGATAAAGCTCCTGTCCCACCTCAGTTTCTTGTTTAAGCTCAGGATCTTCCAGGATTCTTTCCCTCGAGGATTCATTTTCATCCCAAATCTGAGTAGTAAATAAACCAGGAGATGGTGAGTGGTGCTTGTGACTTTATTGTGTTGARAAATGGGATATCTGTGAAAACCTGGGACTCACTGTCCTTCTGGGGCCTGGTTTGGAATGGAAAATGGGTTTGGTTTTCATAGTGGTGGAGTCGGCATTCATGGAGGGATTTAGGTTGGACATTGGGAAAATTCCTCCCAGGAAAGGGARTGAGTCCCCATCCCTGGAGGGATGTGGCACTTGGGKACATGGTCAGTGGTGGCCTTGGCAGTGCTGGGTTGATGACTGGACTCAGAGAGCTTTTCCARCCTGAAGAATTCCATGATTCTATKCCATGGATCCATGATTTTCAGCACAGGTTGCCCAGAGAAGCTGTGGCTGCCCCTGGATTCCTGGAAATGTCCAAGGCCAGGCTGGATGGGGCTTGGAACAACCTGGGATAGTGGGATGTGTCCCTTCCCATGGCAGGGGATGGCACTGGATGGGGTTTAAGATCCCTCCCAGCCCCAAACCATCCTATGATCCTATGAAACTGTGTTTGTGTGGAAAAAATTCCCTCGTGCTTCAGTTTAACACAGAAAACTCTGACTGGGGAGGAGGAGAATGAGAAGGAGACGTGTCATCTGTAATTTTCATTTTAAATTAATGACTCCTCTTCTGCTCCACCTGGGAGCAAAGCCTGTCAGGTATTCCCTGGTAATTTCTTTGTTTTTTTTTTTCTTATTCCCAGAGTTCTGTGGGAARAGCAGTAGGGAGTTCCCATCCTCTGAGGGAATGCTGCCCCACASCCCATTGCTCCCAGAGCTCCCACTCACCTTTGCTCCCATCTGAATTCCTGCTGAATTCCATGGCTGTTTCCTGCTTTTCCTTGCACTTAGAGGGAGCTTTCTTGAATTTGAGTTCCCTCTTGGCATTCCAGCTTCTCCTTGGAACACAACTCCCACCGTGGCTCCATGGGCTGAGCACCCTCCAAGTGTTTGTGTCCATGGCTCTTGTCCTGCTCCTGGCTGCTCCCTGGCTCTGGGCCTGGCTGCAGGGCAGAGGAAGAGCAGAAATCCTTTARAGTTTAGGAAYTAGTTAGAAATCCTTCCCTCTGAGRGTGGGGAACTCCCAGARAAGCTGCGGCTGCCCCTGGATCACTGGAAGTGTCCAAGRCCAGGTTGGAYGGGGCTTGGAGCAACCTGGAATTGGGGAAAATGTCCCTGCCCAKGGCAGRGTGTGGAATTGTTAGGATTTAAGGTCTCTTCCCATCCAAACCATTCCATGTTTCTATAAATAGGTGACACAGGTAATATTTCCTCCCAGATTGTGTCAGTGAAGCACTGTGAGCTTCCAATGCTGGAGAGTGTTTTTCTTTCTATCGATAAAATAATTCTGATTTTATTTATCTTCTAAACTGGCTTAATACCTATCATAGAATCATGGAATGTTTTGGATAGGTAGAGACCTTCAATGCCAACAGTTCCATCCCCCTGCCATGGGCAGGGACACTTTCTACTATCCCAGGTTGCTCCAAGCTCTGTCCAACCTGGCCGTGGACACTGCCAGGGATGAGGAAAATACTGGAGAGAATCCTCTGGATCCTGAGTGGAGCCCTGGCAGAGGGATGAAGAGGTACAGGGGAAGAGGGGATATTTATTTTGGGGGTCTCTTTGTCCCTCAGCTGTTGGGACACACCCCCCTGCTCCAAATCCACTGATTTGGGTGTTTTTTCCACTTTTTTTTTTGCTGGAATGCTGCAGGTTTTGGTGCTGAATGTCGTGCTTGTCCCCAGTGCTGCTGGGGCCAAGGGAAGGAGAAGGAGCTTGTCATCTTTGTGGCTTCTTTGAGAATTTTAAATGGATTTTGTGTGTGTGACATTGCCTTTAAGCCAGGACGGAGAGGGGAAGCAGCTGAAGCTCCTGAGGTGGCTCTGGTTGAGTTCCTGATGGTCCCAGTGAAAAATTCCCAGTTTCCAGTTGAGTTCTATGTTGTTTATCCCATCCCTGAATGGCCACCGTCCTCAATGGCCTCCAGCTTCATTCTGTGGGACATTGTGGCCTTCCTCTGCCTGCATGTGCCATGCTCAGTGACGTGTCTGGTTTTAGGGGGCATATCTGTGATTTTCTCCCTCTCCTCCTGTTCCTGAAGCCAGATTCCAGCTCAGGTGTTGGGTCACTTGTCCAGCCTGGACGAGATTCATTAGGATTTGCTGCTCCTCCAGAGGGGCAGCTCCAATCTCACCTCCCTGGGACATGGGACAACACCCAAGGGAAGGACTGAAAATGTGTCAGGGAAAGTTTAGCTGGATATTAGSAAAAGATYCCTCATCCAGAGGGTGGTGGGGCACTGGAACAGCTCCCCAGGGAATGGTCACATTCCTAAGGCTGCCAGAGCTCCAGAAGTGTTTGAACAACGACGCTGTCAGGGCCAGGGTGGGATTGTTGGGATTGTCCTGTGCAGGGAAGGAGTTGGATTGATAATCCTGTGGGTCCTTTCCAACTCGGGGTATTCTGTGGCTCTCTGGTTTGGGGGTGATTTCGCGTGTTGGGATCCCGGGCTGGAATTTTCGGGCACTGGCCGGTTCTGATGGCTCCTAAATCCCCTCGTTCGCCTGATTAGCCCCGGGAACAGTGCCCAGAGAGGGGTGAGGGCGTTAATTCGGGATCTGTCAGCTCAGGCAGGAACAATGGGACACAATGTCACCTGTCACAGCCAGGAGCAGAGCAATTGGCGACCATCCAAACCGCCCATAATTAACCCCGTGGGTTCCATCCCCTCACCTGTACCCGGCCGTGCAGCTCCCGGGGATTTGGGACAAACCCTGCTCCAGGGCATTGTTTTCCCTCAAATTTCTTCATGAAGGGAAGAACAAGTGGGACGAGCCTTGTCTGCCGTCACGGTGGGCGCCGGGCGGGAGGAATTTGGCGGTGTCCCTGCCCAGCATCCACACCAGGGCGAGCAGGAGGAGGTCTGGAATGTCGCGGGGGCCGCGGGCGCGGTGTCGCCGCGCCGGTGGTGGCCCGGTGCCTCCTCCTGCGGGGAGCGTTAGGACCCAGCGAACCGCCGGCGCGGTGACAAGTCTGGAGCAGCACTGGCGCAGAGTGGCTCTATCGGCAGCGCTGGAATTCTCTGTATCCCTCCCTCGGAGCATCCTCGCCCAGAAAAGGGCTTCCCTGCCTGTGTGCCGCCCGGCGGAGCCTCGGGGGAGGGGGGGCGCGGGGATGCTGGGATCGGCCGGGACGCTGGGAAGCGCCGCTGGATGCTGCCGGCCGTGAGCTGCGAGAGCTGTTGGCTGCAAATCGGGAATCTCTGGAGCGCGGCAGCATGGCCCAGGGCAGGAGACACGCGTCCGGCCGGGTAAGGGGGAGGGGGGGGCTGACTCAACAGCTCCTGGCTCTGCCGGGTCCTATCGCGACAGATCGCGACGCTGTCGCAGCGAAAATAGCTGGGTTTTGTAGGGAAATCTCTCGATTGTGCTGCCTGCGCTCGCTCCCGTATCCCTGTAATGTGGCACCTCCCTCGCTGACAATAATGCCGGGAGGGGAGGTGGATGCTCCGGGTTGCACCAGGGCCGGCTCTTTTGGCCGGAGTTACCTGCCCATGGTGGTGATTACCCCAATTCATTACCTCGGTTAATTAATTACCCCGGTATCGTCCGGCGGGCCGAGCCTCCTCTCCGGCTCAGCCTTCCCGGGGCTGCTCAGCACAAAGATTCCGGCGTGTTTTCCTGCCTGCCGCGGGCTCCCCTCCCTCCGGGCTGCTTTTCCAGGCAGCACGGAGCGATGCCGAGCTTCCGCGGGCCTGGCAAGCGCTTCCAGGTTTTTCCGTATTGCAGCTACCCCTGGGCTGTGCGGTGCCAGCGGCCCCCCCGGCCCCTGGCCAGGCCTTTTTCGGGAGTTTCTCTCCTTGTCGCTGTGTCCCTGTGTGGCCACCRCCGCGGTGACATTGTGTCCCAGACCCCGCCGGGCACCGCAGGCGCGTATGGGCCTGGCTGTGCCAACTTGGCAGTGACTCCAGGATGGAGCTGGGAACAGCAGACCCTTCCCACYGCTCCATGGGACCCCCAGCCCCTCCGTGGGTACCGTGTCCTGCCTGCTGAGGGATACACCAGGCCTGGAGCTGGTGGGATTTGGGCTGTGGCCGAAGGGATTTGGCTGCAGTGAAAACTTCCCAGCCTGGAGCCTTTTTTGCCCACCTCGGCAGGGTCYGAATGTGTGTCCATGTGGGTCTGAGGGGGCAGTGGCTGGAGCCCCCCACCTGCCCCCCAAACCTCCCTGTTTTCCATGGGGGAGTATGATGAAGGGGGTGAAATTCCAGCCTGAGTTGTGACAGCTCTGTCATGATAGCCTGCAGGGATTTGGGGGCTCCAAAGGGGTGGGGGTGTGGGGAAGGAGCCAAATGCTGTCTCCAAGGGCTGATGGAGATGGGGGTGAAGGAGTCGCATCAGGACTGTGGGGCCTGGGAATCCTGGGGTGCCAGGGGCTTCCAGGGCAGYGCTGGACACTGCAGGCAGGGCACTCTGAGCACTTTATCCCTTTGACCCACTTTTGGCTCACATGGATTTTGGAATGGGCACTGCAGGGACCACGGCTGTGCCAGCCCTTCCTAGGGTCAAAGCCTCTGGTGATCCCGGCTGTGTCCCCGCCAGGTTTTGGGGACACTGCTCCTGTGATCCAGAGACACCCACACCCTCCCAGTTGGGCAGCTGGAATCAGGTGACACCATGGTGGTGGGAACTTCATCCCAGTGCCACATGCTGGTGTCACCCATGGCAGCCACCCTCAATCCCAGGGTGATCCCTCCTTTCCACAGGGATGTGGTGGGAGCACCACATGCCATTGACTTGGTGCTGACCAGGCTTAAACCCGGAATTATTCCCAAATCCTTCCCTCTCCCAGCTTTGTGGGTCTCACCTGGCATTTGGATCTTGTCAGAGTTTGCTGCTCGGGATTCTCCTGAAACTTTTGATCTGAGCTTTGAGTGACAGTTTGAGGCTCCATCAGCCTCACCTGGTGGGGGAGGTGCTCCTGTAGGAACACACTGAATATTCCTGGGGTGATCCRCCGGGATGGAGCGGAATGCTGAAGCCGGCAGGCTCGGATGGAGCACGAGGGTGACCCAAATCACTGGGAATTCATCCCGTTTTCAGTGGCTCGGCACCAGGATCTTCACATAGCAGAGCACACAGTCTGTGGATGTCTACAATGCTTCAAAAAGGAGGGAAAGTGGGAAAATTCTGGATTTCGGAGTGGTGCCAGGCAGGAAGTTGTGGGGAGCACTTTCTGGTGGTGGTGGCTGTGCAGCCAGGTGCTTATTCCTCACCTGGATCAGGTGTCCCTGGAGCTCTGGGGTGTGGGACAGGCTCCTCCTGGGCTGGTGGCTTCCCCCAGTGATGGTTGCTCTGGAAGCTCAACATTCCTAGTTTTTCCTCTGGCTGCCCCATTCCCACCACCTGCCCTGTGCCCCATCCTCGGGTCTCCCCAGCTGGACCCCGCTGCCTTCACTGTGAATCCCTGGATTTCTTATTTGCTGGGATTTAGGAGCTTATTCCYCTTCCAGACTGAGCAGTGACAGGGCTGTCACTGTGAGTGGCCTCAGCCCTTCTCTCTTCCCGTGTGGTTTCCCACAGTTCTGCTCCTCCATCSTCTTCCCCCATTCCCAGGATTGGGATATCCCGAGTGTGTTCTGCTGGGGAGGTTGGTGTGACAGAGGGGATCCATAGGAGCTGGCCTGGGAATCTGAGAAAATTCTGGGCTGTGTCACCAGCTGCTGCTGGGCTGTTGTGCCATGGTGTCCCCGAGGATGACTGTCCCTGTGTTTGTGGGGTCTGTCCCCCTCGTCCCACAGCCAGACAAGGATTGTCACCACAGCCAGGATGAGTGACCACAGTGTGTCCGTCTCTCCTGTGATGTCCATCGGATCCTCAGCCACTGTCACCTTGCTGGGACAGTGGCTGGGAATGCCCATCCCATCTACTTCCAGCCTGGAGAGTTCCTCCACTTTTAAAACTTGGATTAATCCCATTGGTTTGAATCTTCGTGGGAATTTCAGCTGGGGATTTATCCATTGGACTGGAGCTGTCCTCACATCAGAGGGACAATCCCACAGAGAGATTTGTGATTAGTTGGAAACAAAAGGTGGAGACCCATTGCCTGGTCCTGAGGGATGGGATGGGGTAGGAGAGATTAATTCTTTGCTCTCCTTCTTTTCCCAAGTGTGAAAGACTCGGGAAAAGCTTCCATGAAATTAGTGCTGGTTTGAAAATATCCATCAGGGACAGGCTGGGAGAGCTGGGAATGTTCCCCTGGAGAAGGGAAGGCTCTGGGGAGAGCTCAGAGCCCCTTCCAGTGAYTAAAGGAGCTCCAAGAGAGCTGAAGAGGGACTGGGGGCAAGGAATGGAGGGACAGGACACAGGGAATGGCTTCCCACTGTAGGGTTTGAAGGGTGTCACATCCAATGGATCTTACCTGGCTGCAGTGCCAAACAAAAAACAGGAGGGATAAAAACTCCCAGTCCAGGAACCTTTTCATTTACTGGGGATTTGGGATTTTTCTTTGGGCTTTTTGTTTTCTTGGAGCTCTGCTCTCATTTTCCAGATGTTTGCAGGATGTTGGTGTGGCCCTGGCAGCTGGAAGGAGCCAGAACTTTAGGAGATATCTGAGTCTGGAGCATCAGTTTTGTCTTTGGGGTCATGGTTTTTTTGTTGCATGGTAGATTTTGGGATTAAATACAAGGTTATTTTGTTTTTTTCTGGTTGTGTTTGTTTTCTCCCAGTTTGGATGAAACCTGGAGTTCAGGCTTGTGGAAAAACCATCAGTTACAAAACCCCAAACACGGTGCATTCCAAACTGGGGAAGTGATGTGCAAGGGAAGGGGATGGTTTGTTGGGATTCCAGGAGCTTCCAAAATGCCCTGAGCTCTTCCACAGGCTGAGGATTCCCTGAGTCTCCCAAAGCCCCTGTGGTGTCCAGCTGTGGCCGAGGTTTGTCTGCAGGGCCTTTCCCTGCYGTGCTGGGTGAAAGAGGCTCTGTTTTCCTGGGATAAAGAACAGATTCTTTGGCTGAAGCCAAGCCCAGAGTGACTAAAACTCCACATTTCTGCACAGTGACCAGAACCAGTGACACTGGGGTGGGGGAAATGCCAAACTGATCCCATTTTGGGGACTGCCGAGAGCTCGGGATGAATGGGAAGATGGATCTGAGCAGGGCAGGGAACATCCACGTCCGCTCTGAGACAGAGGTGGTGGGATTGAAAGGTGTCAGGGTTTGAGGAGGGGGTTCCAAAAGATCTGGARAGGGGTGCATAGAGTGACAGGAGAAGGGGGAATTGTTCCCCTCTGGAAAAGGGGAGAGTTGGGTGGGAAGAAATTCTTTYACTGTGAGGATGGTGAGGCCCTGGCCCAGGTTGCTCAGAGAAGCTGTGGCTGCTCTGGATCCCTGGAAATGTCCAAGGCCAGGCTGGATGGGGCTTGGAGCACCCTGGGATAGTGGAAGGTGTCCCTGTCCATGGCAGGGGGTGGAACTGGATGGGCTTTAAGGTCCCTTCCCACCCAAACSATTCCAGGATTCCATGAATCTGTTTTACTCAGGCTGACAGCAGAGCATTGGGGGTGGATCCCAACAAATTTCCCTGTGATTTTAATAATCCCAAATACCCCATGGGGTTCCTCACATCCGACACCTCACTGCTGCTCCTAAAACATTGATCACCTGCATAACAACACCTGAACCCAGGTACATTCTGGGATGTCACACTCAGAGTGTCCTGCTGCCCACTGGGATGGAAATGGGGATGAGTGTTTATGTTTGGAATCAAGGAATTGTTGAGGTTTTAAATCCCTCCRGRGMTGGGCACTCYACCCCTGCCCTGGGMAGCCYRTGCCAGGAGGAATTTTTCCAAAATCCTATCCAAACCTCCCCTAGCACAACCTGAGGCTGTTTTCTCTCTCCTGGATAATGACAATCCCACCTGGAAAGCTGCTGGGCTTTCCCACCCTCATTCCAAGGTGGGATACCCCGAGTCTGGGCATGGGAGAGTGCCTGGAACACCACAGGAGCCACCAGATCTTGACAGTCTGAAGGATGGGACAATGACCTGTGTCCCAAACAGCCTGTCTGCTCCTGGACACAGAATTCCCAGGCTGGAAAACCATGGGAATGCTGATATAATGGGAAAAGATGGAGTATGAGTTGGTTAARGCTGATCGACTGTGCTGCTCTTGGGGCTTTTTTTCCTCCAAGGCTTATAAAAACATTATAAAAATGTTATAATAAGGGATAAATCAGGTTTGTGAGCCCRGAGCGACCATTGGTGGTGGTTGTGGCTTCTGTTCTGGAGCAGAAGGGATTACCCTTGGCCGGCTCCCAAAATAAAAGCGGGTGGAAGAGGCAAAAAAATGAAAATCCCAATATCCAAACCTTCTCAGCCGTGCTTTTCCCTGTTCCCCAGGCCTCCAGCACCCCCAGGATGAGCTCGGACGGAGGCAGCAAGCCCCTCAGGGTGGGCTCCCGTGTGGAGGTCATCGGGAAGGGCCACCGTGGCACCGTGGTCTACATGGGAGCCACCCTGTTTGCCACGGGCAAGTGGATTGGGGTCATCCTGGACGAGGCCAAGGGCAAGAACGACGGGACGGTGCAGGGCAGGAGATACTTCACCTGCGAGGAGAACCACGGCATCTTCGTGAGGCAATCCCAGGTATGTGGGATCCTGGGATCCTCAGAGCACAAGGATCACGGATCACTCGTTAAATAGAGGGAAACAGCCCTTCCCAAAAGGGAGAAAGCAGTTCCCTTCACTCCAGGGGTTTCTAGAACTCTCCATCTCCTCACAAGGGAGAGAACAACACTCTCCAATCCTGGAGATGTGGGGTTTTTGGGACTCTGTGTCTCCCCACAAGGAGGGAACAGCACTCTGCAATCCTGGAGATGTGGGGTTTTTGGGAATCTCCATCTCCTCACAAGGGAGAGAACAGCACTCTCCAGTCCCAGAGATGTGGGGTTTTTGGGAATTTCTGTCCCCCCACAAAGGAGAGAACAGCACTCTCCAATCCTGGAGATGTGGGGTTTTTGGGTCTCTCCATCTCCCCAAAAAGGAGGGAACAGCACTCTCCAGTCCCAGAGATGTGGGGTTTTTGGGAATGTCTGTCCCCCTCACAAAGGAGAGAACAGCACTCTCCAGTCCCAGAGATTGGGGTTTTTGGGACTCTGTGTCTCCCCCCAAGGGAGGGAACAGCACTCTCCAATCCCAGAGATGTGGGGTTTTTGTGACTCAATGTCATTCCCACAAGGGAGGGAATAGCACTCTCCAGTCCCAGAGATGTGGGGTTTTTGGGACTCTCCATCTCCCCACAAGGGAGGGAACAGCACGCTCCAGTTCCAGAGATGTGGGTTTTTTGGGAATCTCCATCTCCCCACAAAGGAGGGAACAGCACTCTTCAATCCCAGAGATGTGTGGTTGTGGGGTTTTTGGGACTCTCCATCTCCCCACAAGGGAGAGAACAGCACTCCAATCCCAGAGATGTGGGGTTTTTGGGACTCTCCATCTCCCCACAAGGGAGGGAGCAGCACTCTCCAATCCCAGAGATGTGGGGGTTTTGTGACTCAATGTCATTCCCACAAGGGAGGGAATAGCACTCTCCAGTTCCAGAGATGTGGAGTTTTTGGGACTCTGTGTCTCCCCACAAGGGAGGGAACAGCACTCTCCAATCCCAGAGATGTGGGGTTTTTGGGTCTCTCCCCACAAGGGAGGGAACAGCACGCTCCAGTCCCAGAGATGTGGGGTTTTTGGGAATCTCCATCTCCCCACAAAGGAGGGAACAGCACTCTTCAATCCCAGAGATGTGTGGTTGTGGGGTTTTTGGGAATTTCTGTCCCCCCACAAAGGAGAGAACAGCACTCTGCAATCCCAGAGATGTGGGGTTTTTGGGACTTTCCATTTCCCCACAAGGGAGGGAGCAGCACTCTCCAATCCCAGAGATGTGGGGTTTTTGTGACTCAATGTCATTCCCACAAGGGAGGGAACAGCACTCTCCAGTTCCAGAGATGTGGAGTTTTTGGGACTCTGTGTCTCCCCACAAGGGAGAGAACAGCACTCTCCAGTTCCAGAGATGTGGGGTTTGTGTGACTCTCCCCACAAGGGAGGGAACAGCACGCTCCAAACCCAAGCTGAACCTCACCTGGGGCTGGCTCCAGTCACCCTGTGCACCATTCCTCGAGGTCTTGCTCAGCCCACAGGGTTATTGTGGAATATTTTCACATGGACTGGGTGAAATTCCCAACAGTTTTGTGAATTCCCAACGGTTTCCTTCTGCTTTCCCATGAAGTGCCCGGCCTGGTGCTGCCCTGTGTTTCCTGCCTGCAGCAGGTGGAGTTTGGGATCGATCTTGGATGTTTACCTGGAAGCAAAACCAGGGAATTTTAATTAAATTTTGTTTACCTGGTGAGAGATAAAACACACGGTGTGGGTGTAGCTGCTGAGCTTTGCTTCCCATGTGCTGCAGCAGGGACCAGGAGCAAACATCTCCCAGGTTCATTCCCTGTGTCACCTTCTGAGGGCACACAAGGTGACACTGGAGCCACCCAGCCCCGTGTCCCAGCCAACTCCTGTCCCCTTCCCTGGCACAAAGGGGCTGGTTTGTCCCACCCCATGGCCTCTCATTGCCTTGATACTGGGTGACAGAGGGAAACTGAGCACAAAATTGAGGGGATTTGGGTCGTGGGGTCTATCCCAGCATCTGCTGTCCCATCCATCGGAAGGGCCTTTGGATCATGTGTGGTTGGAGGCTGCAGCAATGGCTCCTTCAGGAAAAACTCCAGGAATCACTGAGGTTGGAAAAGATCTTTAAGATKAGTCCAGCCATCCCCTGCTTCAGTCACTTTGTCATCAGCTCAAGGCAGGATGAAGGAAAATTATCCCCACACTTTAAATAATGGGACAAACGCAAAGAGCTGAACCCTCCAGTGCCAGAGAGTGTTTTTATCGAGCCCAAAAGCTGTTGGTGTGTAGGAATTGCCCTGCTGCTCTGCTGGGGTCACCACAGATTTCCCAAATGGAATTCCACTGCACTCCCAATTTCCTGCACATTAAAACGGGACACATGCACCCAACTCTTTTGTCTGTGTCTCTCTGCCTCTCTGGCCAGCTGGGAAAGGCTAAGAGGGGTTTGCAGGGAAAAAGTTGGATCTGTGGGACCAGGAGGGACCTCAAAGCCCACCCAGTGCCACCCTCTGACAATCAGGGACAGCTTCCACTACCCCAGGGTACTCCAAGCCCCATCCAGCCTGGCCTTGGACGCTTCCAGGGATCCAGAGGCAGCCACAGCTGCTCTTGGAATTCCATCCCAGCTCTTCCCCACCCTCTGAGGGAGGAATTCCTTCCCAACATCCCATCTAGCCCTGCGCTCTGTCAATGACAGCCATTCCCTGTGTTGTTACCTTGGCCTCTGGGCCGGGTGTGCAGCGAGTGCTGTTCAAGCCCCGTCCCAAATTCCCGAGCTGGGGGGATTGATTGAGACATACCTGGAGCAGAGATGGGAAACAGGATGGATAAACAGCCCCAAATCCCCCAAATCCTCTATATCCCAGAGCAAAGCCGTGGATGCAGGGCTGTCCCAGAGCTGATCCTGAGCCACCCTGGGGCTCAGGGAGGGTCCCTGGTGTTCCTCAGCTCCCACCTGGTGGGCACAGAGTGGGGACCCCACCCCTGGCACCCCCCAGCAGGGGCAGAGGGTGCTGAGCACAGGGCTCTGCATGGGGCTGGATGTGTCCCCTCATCCCTGGAAGTGTCCAGAGCCAGGTTGGACAGGGCTTGGAGCCACCTGGGACAGTGGGAAATGTCCCTACCCATAGCAGAGGGTGGCACTGGAGGAATTTTAAGGTCCTTTCCCACCCAAACCATTCCAGGATTCCCTGATTCCACCTGGGCTGGCAATTCCTAGCATGGCTGTTCCTTTCCTGGTATGTGGAAATCCCTGATTTTGGCATTACCCGGAGCTGAAATTCAGCTCCTGCCTGGCAGAGGAGCTCAATGGCCACTCTGTGTCCAGTCTGTGGGGACATCCCTGTCCCCAACCTCTCCARCAGCTTTGGAATTCCCACCTGGGCTCTGTCTGCTGGGAAACCCCCAGACCACTTGGAATTCCCACCCTGTGTGGCTGCAGGTGTCATGATTTCTGTGGCATCATTTTTCCTGGTCTCCTTGTGGCTTTTAATTCCATTTTAATCATTCTGGGTGTTGGGAATCTTCCCAAAATGGAATCCCTGTCTGACAGTTTCCCGGGTTATTTTGATTTTCAAGCTGAACTCGCGGGTGGGAGGTGATGATGGATCAGGCAAATTCCTGCAGGAACAATTTGGGAGGTGCTGATCTGAGGCACAGGGGTGTTTCTCTCTAAGGAATCTAATCCCTCCCATGTTTTCCATATTCATCCAGGAAAATTGTGTTCAAAAATAGTTCACAACGAGAAATCCCTGAATTTARTATGGATGTTCCGGGCTGTCAAATCCAAGGCTTTGATTTTCCTCATTGCCTGTGTGAATATTCCTTATTCCTGATGGGATTAAGGAGGTTTTAGCTGCTTTTAAGGAACCTGTGGAGGGAGGATGGTCAGTGGCAAAGCCGAAACAATAAAATTAAAAATACGTGCCAAAAACGTGGGGTCTTCTTTGCTGAACCCACTGCCAGAAGGACCTTTTCCTTGATCTCCCTGTTTGGGAATTTTTGGCAGTGACTTGGTTGTTGTGCTTTTCCCAGATCCAGGTGTTTGAGGATGGAGCAGACACCACGTCCCCAGAAACCCCAGATTCTGCTGCCATGAAGGTCCCTAAGAGAGGTATGGCCTGGCTGGGAAACCCTTCCCAAACATTTGGGAAATCCTTCCCGGGGAGGTGGGAAATTGTTACTGGAGAGGTGGAAATCCTGACTGGAGGGGACGGGAAATTATTCCTGAACAGAATGGGGTTGGGAGGGGTGGGAATCCTTCCTGGAGAGATGGGAAATCCCTCCTGSAGRGGTGGGAAGTGCTTCCCAGATGAAATGGGAAATCTTTCCTGGAGAGAGGGGATATCTCTTTTGGAGAGGTGAGAATCCTTCCTGGGCGGATGGGGAATCCCTCGTGGAGGGGTGGGAAGTGCTTCCCAGATTAAATGGAAAATCTTTCCTGGAGAGAGGGGAAATCTCTTTTGGAGGAGTGGGAATCCTTCCTGGAAAGGTTGGAAATCCTTCCTGTAAGGAAGGGGGAAATCATGGAATATTTCCSAGTGGGAATGCAGAACCACTGAACCATTCCTGGGCTGTGGAATTGCAGCGTCCCTGTGGGATTCCAGCGCCCCTGTGGGATTGCAGCATCCCCGTGGGATTCCAGCATCCCTGTGGGATTCCAGCAACCCTGTGGGATTGCAGCATCCCTGTCTCCAGGGCAATCTCCCTTTGCCGTCCCCATTCCCACCCGGCACAGGGATCCCCTCCCGCTCTCCTCTGAGCATTCCTTCCCCCTTTCCCACATCCGTCGGCCCCGCCATCCCTGGCTGTGTGCCCAGACAGGCTTCCCTCCCTCCCCCTGAGCTCTGCTTTGTGGGAAATGTTTTCTACACGCGCTGCGGGATCCCGGGAGCTGCCGGAAGGGGCTTTGCCAGCTTCCTGCCTTGGCTGCTCTGTCAGCTCCCTGTGCCAAGCCGGGAGCTCAGTGTGGGAAGCATTTGTRGGACACGGAATTCATGGATCAGGGAGGGCTGGGGTTGGTGATTGGTTGTGGGTGGGAACTCCCCTCTCCCAGGAAGTAGGAAGTAAAATTACTTGGGAAAATGGAATGGATGCTTCCCTGTTCTCTGCCTTGGATCCTGCAGTCAGCAGAGAATCGTGGAGTAGAGTCGTGGAATTGTTTAGGTTGGAAAAGCCCTTGGGCTTTCCAAGGTCCTAGCACTGCCCAGGCCGCCACTGACCATGTCCCCAAGTGCTGCAACCACAGGGCTGTTAAATTCCTCCAGGAATTGGGGCTTCATCACTGGCCTGGCCTGGACAGCCTTTTCCATGAAGGAATTTCACCAATATCCAACCTAAACTTCCCCTGGCCCAGCCTGAGGCCGTTCCCTCTCCTCTTGTCCCTGTTCCCTGGGAGCAGAGCCCAAACCCTCCGGCTGTCCCCTCCTGTCAGGGAGTTGTGCAGAGCCACAARGTCCCCCCTAATCCCCCTTTTCTCCAGGCTGAGCCCCTTTCCCAGCTCCCTCAGCCACTCCTGGAGCTCCAGAACCTTTCCCAGCTCCTTCCCTGGACACAAATTCCAGGTCAGGACAGACAGACACTGTTCCCAGCCTCCCCATCCCGGGGTCCTGGAGCAGGGGAGCCCAGGCTGCAGGTGGGGTGTGGGATGATGCTGTCAGGGATGCAGGGCTGGGATGTGGCTGCCTGCCAAGGGTTTCCATGGAAACAGCAGCTGCTGCAGCAGCGCTGCAGTGAGGGTGCAGGGATGGATCCAGCACTGGCCCCTCCTGGCTGGCACTGGAGCTGCTGGTGACCCCYRGACATCTGGACAGGGGYGGGAATTCAGACMCACCTGYCAGGGAGGGACAGGACACAGGGAAAGGCTTCCYACTGAATGAGGRCAGGSTTATTGGGATATTGGGAAGGAATTCYTCCCTGTGAGGGTGGGGAGGCCCTGGCACAGGGTGCCCAGAGAAGCTGTGGCTGCTTCTGGACCCCTGGCACTGTCCAAGGCCAGGTTGGACAGGGCTTTGAGCACTCTGGGACAGCAGAAGGTGTCCCTGCCCATGGATGGGGTGGGATTGATGGGATTCAAGGTCCCTTCCCACCCCAAACCATTCCATGATTCTGTGTTCCCAAGTGCCACACCCACACGGGTTTAAGCACCCCAAGGGATGGTGACTTTGCTGTTCCCTGAGCAGCCTGTGCCAGCTTCAGGAATCCCTGAATTCCAAGGATTCAGCCCAAGGAGAGCAGTGGAACCTACCCCAATTCTGAGACGTGTCCAGGCGTTTGCCCTTCTCAGCCAGCAGCTCCCATAAGGAATTCCCTGTTCCCCCAAACCCACACCCCATTGTGCCACCATTTCCTGGCAGATCCTGACTCTGCTTCACTCCCACTTCCCAAAATTCTGCTGTCCCCTTGCTGGGTGCAGGGTGGGGATGAGGACAGGGGTATCACTCAGGCTCACAGCTCTGTTTCTGCTCTCTCCACAGATTCCCTGGATGCCTCCAAGGCCAGCAAACTGGTGAGTGRCCCCAGCACTTTGTCMCCTCTGAAAGGTTTTCATCCCATTKGGAAGAGCACAYGGAYACACACACTTTTTGTGGGATAAAATACCCATGGAAGAGCAAATTTTTCCTGAAACCCACACGAAATAAGGTGTAAAAATGTCATTTTCAGCCACTGGGCAGGAATCTGTTGGTTCCTGAGGGATTATCCAGCACAGGTCCCGTGTCACACATTTTAATCTGAGTCCAGTCAATATTGCAGCATTCCCTGGCTGCTTCCTTCAAACCCTGYCCCTCATGGAATCATGGAAGGGACCTGGAAGCCCACTCAGTTCCTGGTGTGGGCAGAGACACCTTCAACTATCCCAGTTGCTCCAAGCCCTGTCCAACCTGGCCTTGGACACTGCCAGGGATCCAGGGGCAGCTTTAAGGACCCTCCCATCCCACAGGAAGAGTGCATTCCTTGGGATAAGTGACACTGACTCTCTCTGGCTTCCATGGAAGCTGTGAACACCTCCGAGTGTCTTCATCCAGGAGCCCCAGTGGCTGCTGAAACACGGACAGGGACGTGTGGTATCCTAATGTGAGGGGTATTTCATAAGGAATGGGAATCTGGAGCAGGTTCCTGTCCTCGGGAATGGCCATACAAGTGTGGGATAGTGAGGAATCATGGAATTCTGAGGCTGGAAAAACAATCAAGTCCAGCTGTKCCCCCAGCACMYCCASTCCTGGGGACCAGTGATGGGAACTGGGTGATCCCGGGGATGCAGCGGGTAGGTTTGTGTGTTTTAGGGTAGAAATTGGGTTTTCTGTAGGGATAAACTGATCCAACTGGGATGTGGGAAGTAATGGGAAAGAAAATTGTCAGGACAAGGGGCTTCTGTGCATGTGGCACCTGTGGGGCACATCAAAGCCCAGCCCCCTGTGCTGCCATTCTGGAATTCCCAGGAGTGGGAATCCTGCTCCCCACCCCGCTGCAGAGCTGGGTGCTGGGAATGGAGCAGCACTTGGGGGTTTGTCAGGCTCAGATCCCAGGGAATGTGAGCTGCAGCCAGAGGGGAGGATGGAAAAGGATTCCCTGCCCTGTATTAGAGGGATTTGGGAGGGTTTTCACCTTTTCTTGCTGTGTGGGGAGTGACCCATCTCAACCCCTGGGCGTTGCTGGAGCCTGTGCCCCGTGTGCTCCCTGCCTGATCCGTAACATCGAGGCTCCTGGTTTAATTCCACCCTGGAATTCATTAAAAGACAAAGGGAATATTTAGGAAGCCTCAGTGTTCTTGAAATCAGGGAGTGGGGATTGTTCTTGGAATTTTTTTTATGCTGTGGATGTGGAGGAGGGATCAGGACAGGAGATGCTGCTCCACGTGCATTCCCACTGGTTTGTCATGGAACCATGGAATGGTTTGGGTTGGRAGGGACCTTAATACCCATCCAGGGACATTTTCCACTATCCCATGTTGCTCCAAGGACATTTCCAAGGATGGGGCAGCCATAAATTCTCTGRGCAAYCTGAGAGAGAATTAGGGCCTCSCYACCCTCACAGGAAGGAATTCTTTCCCAATATCTGATCTCTCCCTACCCTCATTCAGTGGGAAATCATTCCCCATGTCCTCACACCCCTGGCATCCTCCTTCTCCTGCATCCTGGGAGATCCTGGCACCCCAATCCCTTTAACCTGTCTTTGCTCCATGCAATGATTTATTCCCCTTTGGACATGTTCTGACTGTCCAGATTGTCCGTGCAAGGGCAGGAGACAGATCCAGAGCAAGGGGGTGACTCCAGGGCTGTTTTCTCCTTAATTTGCTTAAATTTCCCTGATTCTGTTCCTCCTCTTGCCTTTCCTGCAGCCTGGGGGGGCTTCCCAGGGAGCATTTCCCCGGAGCCTCCAGGCCTCTCTAACATTCCTTCTGTTCCCTCCTCACGCAGCGCGGAGCGAAGCCCAAAAAGGTGCTGTTTGTCCCTTTTCCGTGCGCGGCCGCATGCCGGGGCCATCGTCATCCTCACTGTCCCCATCCCGCTCCATCCCAGCGCTGCATGGCTGCTCTTTGCATGTGCTCCCAGCCAGGGAGGGGACATYGCTCCGGGGCGGAATGCGGTGGTGTCACACCAACATGGAATCGTGGAAGGTTTGGGTGGGGAAAGCCTCCGAGGCCAGTGAGGTGCTAAACTGTGTCCCCAAGTGTCACATCTGCAGGGTGACATCCCCCAGGAATGGGGACTCTGCCATTCCAATTCTTTCCAACCCCTTCCATGAAGGAATTTTCCCCGGATCTGACCTAAATCTCCCCTGGCACAGCCTGAGGCTGTTCCTTCGAGATATTTTTATAAACCCTCCGATGACTCGGGGACAAGTGGCTGTCCTGTCCTGTCCTGTCCTGTCCGTGGGCTCTGGCTCCTCCTGGGGACACCCAAACCCACCTGGTTTGTGACAATTATCGAAGCCAAAACTCTTTTGGACAAAGATGAGCTGAAATTCCAAAGGTTTTGGCAAAGAATCCCAGAATGATTTGGGTTGGGATGGACATTAAAGCCCATCTTGTTCCACGCCCYYGCCACGGGCAGGGACAGCCAAATCATCATTCCCTATAGGGGATTTGGGGAATTTTTTKTTTTCCCCATGGGAATTTTGCCAGGAGAAAAGCTAAGGTGGGCACTGGAGATGTGGGAGAGGGGAGGGAGGTGGTACCTGCGCACCTTYGGCATCCCCTCGGTCCGGCTTTGCTTTCCAGCTGCTTCCGTGTCGATTTTTGGGTGGAAAAATGGTCCAAAGAGATCTGTCCATGGGAAGTCTGGAGGTGAGGAGCAATGTGGAATTTGCCAAGAGTCCATGGAAGGGGGCTGAGAGTACCTGTCCCCAGGTGTCCTCTCCTTGTGTCMCCCCAGATCCAGGGCTCTGCATGTCCCTGAGGCTTCAGGGTCCGTGTGGATCCCCTCATCCCAGTCCTGCCAGTTCCAAGGGGTGCCATCTGTGGGAACTCTGCTGTGGGATGAAATTCCTGTTTGGAATGTTGGGTTCTTCCTTCTCTGTCCTTGTTCTGGTGCGTTTGCAGCTGTTGGGTGGCCCCGCTCTGTCCCCGCTGTCTGCTTGGAGCTGTGGCTGGGATTTAGGATCACGGGGGTGTGACTGTCACTGTCCCGAGGATCACAGAGCTGTCACTGCCCCGGGGATCTGGGGCTGTGACTGTCACTGTCCTGAGGATCACGGATTTTTCACTGTCACTATCCCGAGGATCACAGAGCTGTCACTGCCCCGGGGATCTGGGGCTGTGACTGTCACTGTCCTGAGGATCACGGATTTGTGACTGTCACTRTCCTGGGAATTGTGGGGGTGTGACAATCATTGTCCTGAGGATCATGGAGTGTGACAGTCATGGTCCTGAGGATCCTGGCTTTGTGACTGTCACTGTCCCGAGGTTCCTGGATCTGTCACTGTCCTGGGAATTGTGGTGGCACTCACTCTTCTGAGGATCATGGATCTGTCACTGTCCTGACCCCTATCCTGGCCACATGTGCACAGCTTACACAGGGACATCCCCACTGAGGGACAGCCCCGTGCCAGGTTCTGCTGTCCCCTCAGATTTTTACTTTTTCAGCCATTACTGACCCCGAGAGCACCCCCTGCCCCTTGGGCAGCTCCTGCCCCGCACAGAGATGTGCTGGCCAAGGGGAAATTGGATAATGAGAGTAATTAGCGGGTAAATCCTCATTCTGGAGATTACAGCRGCTCCTGTGTGTCAAATATAGACTTTAATCGTGTCCAGAGCTGCTGCCAGATGGGCCTTTCCCCCTTGCTGTGGTCATTCCATGGATTTGGGATCATTGTGGTCTTTGGGATGTGCTGTTTCCAGGGCTCRGAGCAGGGGGAAGCTCTGGGGGCACCTTGGGAGCTGCAGGACTTTGGGAGTCCTGTCCCCTGTCCCTTGCTGTGACACCGTGTCACGGTGTCCTTGTTCTTGGAGCAGGATTGGCTGATCCAGGCTGTCCTCAGGGAGTGCTGGTCTTTGTCCTGGGCCAGGCTGGTTGGGAAGGACCCCAAAGGGGCCCCAAAACCTGGTTAAAGAGCAGGAAGAAGGYGTTTTCCAGGTGATTTTTGGGATGAAGCAGGTTGTGTCGTCTTCATCCCTGTGACGATGTGTCTGTGGTGGTGACAGACCATCCCTTCTCTGCAGTGCTGGGTGACACTGAGTCATGGATGTCACCTCCCAGCGACACAGAGGTGGCAGGGCTGTGGTGGGAGCAGGACCCTCCCAGGGATGCAGGCAAAGGCTGGTCCTGGCTCCAGTGGGTGTCAGGGTGGGCTACCGGGCTCTGACACTCTGGAATCCTGGAATTGTGGGATATTTAGGCTGGAAAAGCCCTCTGAGTCTGACTGTCTCAGAGCAGTGTCACAGCCATGTCCCCAAGTGCCACATCCACCGGTGGCACGTGCTGGTGCTGTGACCCAGCTGGTGACTCCTGTCCCATCACCTCAGGCCACCCATCCCCTGCGGCTGCAGCCAGTTTGATCATGGGGATTTTCCTCTGATGGATCAGGTTTGTCCCTCTCTGGTGACATYCCCGTTCCTTTCATCCTGCCAGTGCCATTCCCTGTGCCAGGGCTGGGTCTCTGTCCCTGCTCCGATCCCATTCCGGGGTGATCAGCTGCTGGCCGGGTCAGTGTTCAGGTTGTTTTCCCGGTGTTWTCCCGGTCTCTGTGCAGGAGCAGATGGTCCATTCCAGCCCGGAGCAGGTCCCAGATGGTTTGCTGAACGCACAGGGGCCGCCCCAAGCCCCGTTAATCCTTTAAAGGAACAGATAATCCGATCAGCTCCAAAACCCACCTCATCCCAGCTGCCCCAACCACGTCTGTGGCAGGGCCCGGATGAGCTCGCAGCTGATTTTCCAGGCACTGCTGTTCTTCAGGGTGGGTGACACCCCTGTGGCAGCTCTTTGTGTCCCCAGGGGAGTTTGTGGCGAGGTCTGAGGGGTTTATTTTGAWGTGACCCTTTGGAGCTGGGAGCTGAGCAGCATCTGGTGC